CTTTTAGCGGCCATGCAGATAAAAACAGTAGGAATGGAGTAAATCTGCAGGAAGTTAGCTTTGGTTAAATCATTGGTTGTCCTAACGTCCCTGTTTGAGCACAGCGTTTGATTTCTAGCGATCACTTTCCACTTTCACTTTCCTATGAAACAAAGTGTGTCATTTATGTGGAATCCATGCTGTAGGACAAGAACTAGAGGCCCAGATTCAAATAATATGGGATAAAGAACGAGTAAAGAACGACAGAGTCGCAGCCATTTTAATTTGTTTTCATTGAAACAACGTTATGACATATATTAATGCTCAGAAAGTCTGTTGTTAATCACGTTCACCTACTGCCACTACAAATTATAGCTCGGTATCTGAAAGAAATTACAGCTACCCATTTTTCTATTTGCTAAGTTCGATTAGCTGTGGCAGCCATCTTGAATTAGGCTAACTCCAAATCAAGTTCAAGTATCTTTATTGTCATTCGCATCACATGTTGTACATGAAGTGGAATAAAAATTGTGTACACGGGGTCCCATTTACACAAAAAAAAAAGTATAAAAAGAAACAGGCCACAAGGATCTAAGATATACGTTCAACGATACGCTAAATGAGTCCCCGAGGCTCAGTGAGACTAAATCAGTTGTACATGTACATCCACTAATTGTTTCATAAGATATTTTGCTAACAGACACACGAGGTTGAGTCAAATTGTTAGCTGCAACAATTTTAAATTCGTATTTTGGGTGACCAGGCTCGAAGCACAGGTTGAGAGTGACTCTCAGCTACTACCACACCAATACCTCCCCTCATACTTGCAAAACGGGTCGAGTCGCAGCCATCTTTGAGTTCAGTCAGGTCAGTTGGCGCCGGCGGCCATCTTGAACATCCAATAATTACTTTTTGAGAGTTTCATTTTGTTCGTGAGATATTTTGCTAACTCTGCAGTCAAACACAGACATAGTCAACATGACAAGGTGAGTCAATAAACAATTCACAGCAAACAGGGTGTTGTTTAAGAACTCTGCTTGTGCTTTGTCTGCACGATTTTTAAGGAACCTTTGAGGTTAGGCTGACATTTCTGTAACTGGGTGATAGTGTAGCGTAATCGAGCACAATTTAGGGCAAAGTGGCAGCAGCTCTGGAGGCTTCACCGCACTCTATTCAATCACAAAGCTTGTCACAGCACACCTCGTCAGCTTACTGGATTTCTCCCCCTGATGATGTGGTGCTCTGTTCTACACGTGGAATAAAAATACAGACACTTGTCAAGAGTCCCGACTGCCGTGACACGACCGTGTGGGTTTAATGCCACTCACAGGGCACACACGGCAGCAGATGACAAATCACGGCGCAACGGGCTGCAGGCACAACAACAATGAAAAGCACAAAACTAAATGTCATTTACACCTTTAACATCGTAATCAGCATTTTCATTCGCACACAACTGAAACCACGTGGAGCGAAGCAACAAGCCTTTTGCAAAACAATCACGATATTTACATCTACAGAAAGCTCACATTATGCTTAAGAACCAAAAGTGGGTTTTGCAACAACATCTCATTACTTGTGTTAATTTGCTGCATTTTAAAACCAGCATAGCACTATCTGAGTAAGTGCAGATCACCCGCCGCCTTTTATGGCAGTTTTCGATGGAGTTAGTCGATTTTATCCAAACTTGAGAACATCGTGCAAGAACTAACGCTCAGAGTACGCTACTCTTATTTTAACTGATTTTTTATTGTTGTCACTGTCTACCGTTTTGTTGTCTGTACTTTATATGTTCTGTCTGGAACAGGTCCCTCTTGTAAATGAGTCCCCGTGGCTCAGTGAGGCTAGCCTGTATAAATAAAAGTTGAATGAATGCGTTGTTAATGACCATTCAACGCATAAATCATCTAAACAACTGAGCCAGTTTTGTGTTCTCCAAATTAGCTTAATCAGACAATTTGATTGGGAGAACTCAAAAAAAAAAAAGTCCATGGTTTAGATGTTTTGCTAACAGACAGACAGGATTGACTCGAACATCCATCCGTTATCTTTTACCCGCTTCTTCCATTTTTGGGTCACGGGGGTCGCCGGTGGCCACGTCCAGCAATCACTGTGCGAGGGGCGGGGTACACCCTGGACGGGTCGCAAGTCCATCACAGGGTCTTGACACTAACAGTGAATGTCAAAGTTTTAAACGAACATCTGGAAGGATCAGTAAGTGCTCAAAGAATGTGTCAGATCTCAGCTGCTACCACACCAACGTTCACCAGATTATAGCCATCCATCCAGTGCAGTCTAGTAATACGCTGGTCTACGGCGTATAAAATGATACGTGACATATCGTTGGGCACATGTCACTGATACGTTAAACAACTGTTAACCGCTTCCGTAACGATCTGTCTGTATGCACGCTTGCTTTTTACATTTGATTATCCAGCGCAAACCCTTCACTGCATCCATCCTGAACCAGGTCGACAACAAAAGTTAATCGATGTGCCTCCAAAACCTTCCCGCCAGTTCAGGGAACGTTTTGCCAACAAAGAGATCTTCCTTTTGGTTGCCGGTAACACCGTGCCGTACGGAAACCTGCAGAACGCAGGAAAAAAACAAGCGAACGTACCTTCATCTCTCTACGAGTCCTCTGGGCGAGGAATCCAAGCCTGAAAAACGAAGGATGAAGACGATGTTAGGCATGACAGGAGAAGGCTGCCAACTTCAGTCCACCACAACAATACAGGGTTATGTTATGATGACATCACTTCTTCTTCTACTGGTGGATGCCCTGAAAAAGAGCTGGGCGGTAATGGGGATAAAAACAAATAAATAAAACATCCCCTTTTTTGCTCCATGTTTTACATCCTGATTTGTTTGCGGAGAGGGAAATGGGTGTGTTGCAGAAAAGTAAATCTCTGCAGGCTGGCTGCTCCCAGTCCTTAAAAAGACGTTTATGTAATGGAAGGTGTTTTTCTGTTGCCAGTAAATGGGGCCGAGGAGGTGACGACTCCGGCTGGACGACGAGGCGAAGCCTCCGGGGTCTCTGCGCCGACTACACGGCAGAGGATGACGCCATTTCTGAGGCTGACAGGCGGAGAGAAAGGGAGAGAGACCCAGAAACAAATGTCTCTGTTCACCTGTCCACGCTCCAGAACAGACTGGGGGAACAAAATAAAAAACACGAAAGCGGACGAAAGAAAGAAAGCCTTCCAGAAATGTCGCAATCCGGTCGAGTTAGATAAAGTGAGGCTTCGCGGGGGGTCGTTGTTTTTATTTCCAGTCACTTTCTTCGCGCAGAAATCGTCGACTGGGCGACAAAAGAAACAACTCGACAAAATAAATAAATAAATAAATAAACGGTTCGCAGCAAGGTCAGGCTCGATGAAAGGACGTGAAACCCTTCCTGGATTATTTCTGTGGAGGATCCATCCGCCCCAGACAATCACCAGATAGTGTCCGACCCCAGCCGACGCTCTGCGGACCGGATCGCCCCCCCCCCCCTTCCTCTTAGCGTTGGATTACTGGTTAACTACGGTCCATTTAAACCCGAGCACTAAACCGTCCTCTCAGCCACGTTAGGACGTGTAAAAAACACGCACGGGTCTAGAATAATAACACGAGCTGTCGCCGCGAGAGTGAAGCGATGTCACAAAAGAAACGATCTCCCGTTACAAACTACACGGAGCCACCGCTCCGGCGACATTACGAACACCATCAAGGACTCCCGACTGCTTCGACTAATATCACTTTTCGCGTCCGTTTAAAGGGCGGCGGAGGCGGTGGGAAGATCATGACAGGCGCCGCTCGACGACCGAACCTCCCCGGGAAGATCGCTCACCGTGTCCGGGCGAGCCGCGGAGCGCGCGACCGCTTCGCCAAGCCTCGTTTTTCGGGAAGCTAACGCAGAACTTTGCTGCCCAAGTTCTTTTCGCTACCCTCGGGGGTCGGTTTTAAGGCACCCGGATTCATTCATTCCTCCAGAGTGAACCCCCTCTTCTGCGCTTTCCAACGCATCATTAGTTAACAAGTTAGCTACGGTCACGGTTGGCTGTTTTGGGGACATGCTAGTAAAAAAAAATGTTCAATATTAGCGATCGCTTCGGTGAACAAAAGCAGACTTACCTATGCTGTCAAGTTGAGAAACACTCCTGGTTTTCGACGAAAGGGTATTAGTAATCCATAGAAACATTTATGTGAAAAAGATGAGCGGATTTAATGTCCGTATTCCCTCGGGTTGTTGTTGGATGCGGGTTAATAAAAGTGGTTTTCGCGGAGGGCTGCTGTTGTTGAGAGCTCCTCTCTAACCTAGCTCTTTTTCTGATCCCACCCCCCTCCGCTTCTCTGAGAATGATTGACGGGCGTAATGATCCCGCCTCTTTTAAAAATACGCTCATCCCATTGGTCGATGCGGTAACGACTCTCGTCTGTGTGACACGGGATTGGTTGATCTGAGCGCAAAATATCCACAGCGAGTGTTGCAAAGTAATGTCACAAAACCTGACGAAGAAACTACAACTCCCATGTGTTTTGAGAGTAAGCGTACGTTTGATTTGTATCACAGAGTGTCCCAACAATGATAGAAACGTTTGGTCCCCGTTTGAAAAAAACAGTGAGGAGTTTACCGGGCAATACGAAAGTTTAAATGCGTTGCACCCTTCTCGCGAGCGCCCCTTCTCAGACACTGTGCGCATGCTCTTTAACGTGTTGAAGGTTATAAATGCAAGTCGTCCGAAAAGCCATAGTGCGAAAAGCTGTTTGCACTGTGCGCAAAAGGAGTGGTGTTAGCATAGCTTAGCATAGCTTCGAGGGAAATGGACGGAAGTGGTAGCTCGCGAGACCTGAAATGATTTGAAAGTGTAAATATTAGCCGTTATATCGCGTGCCTTTCTTGACCACCGTGGATGTGAGTGGATCTGTTTTGGTGGAAAAAAGGAAGAAAGAAATGCTCAACGGGGATATATTTGATCGTTTATGTTAGCCTGCATAGGCTAAGTGATTAGCACAACGGCTAACCGGAAATCGGGACCGGCTGACACACCGCAGCCAAGGTGGGTGTGGTTACATCAGCGTCACAGACAGCAGAGGCAGCATGTTTATGAATATATTAGTAATACTGTATCTAATCATTCATAAATAAGTAATATACTATTACTGATAGAGTAATGCTATTTCATTGTAAATTGTAAAAGAATAGCCAATGCAGCTAAATCATTCACCTCTTGTTTTATTAAAGCTAACTTTTTACTGCATCTTTTTGTCATGTGAATTATATTATTATTATTTTGTTATATGATAACACCATAATTCAGGAAATTTCCATCTTTACTTGTTTTATTCTCATATAAGGTATTGGACCAAATCAATAGTTGTAAAAAAAAAAAATGGTTACATGCGGAAATTTATTGTCACAGACATTTGGAAAATATAAATACATGAGTTACATCTTCTCAGTCTTCTGTAATGACATTTGCAAATGTCCAAAGTTGTGCCCATATGTAGATTTGTATTGCAGCAAGTGTAAAAATAAAAGGGTGATTTTGAGTTTAAACTTCGTGTGTGTGCTTGCAAAGAGCAGCCTGGGGACGTAAGCGTTTCTTCTCCTTTATGTTGTCTCAATTATGTGATAATCTAGAGACGTCACAAACAAGACACATTCCTAAATGCAGCCCAGTGAGAAAGTTGTTGTTTTATCTTGTATTTAAAAAAAATCGGACAATTTTTCCCAAACATTCTTGCAAGAAAATATAAAAAACAAGAAGAATTATAATTAATCAATCAACCTTTATTTATAATAACTCACAGACAGAAACTGGAAGTTGTTTCCACAAGAGGAAAGCTCCATTCTACTTTTAGTAACTCTAGGAATCGCAAGTAAACCTGAGCGAAATGCTCGGTTTGGAAAGTATGGAACAATTAGAACTGTAACCTAAGATGGAGCTAGGTTGTTGAGAGCTTTGTAGGTTAGACGTAAGGTTTTGAATTTTGTTCCAAATTTGACAGAGAGACAATGGAGTGAAGCTAAAACTGGAGAGATATGATCTCTCCTTTGGTCTCACATCAGAACTCTGAATCTTTTGGATCAACTGAAGACTGTTTACAGTTGTTTTTAGACACTGATTATAAAAATTACAATAGCCCAGCACAGAAGTGACAACTGCTCGGATCAGTTTTCCTGCATCGTTTTTAGTGATATTTTTAAGCTCAGAGGAGACCGGGCGTTTTCAGTCGTGGGCCCTAAACTCTGGAACAATCTGCCCATCAACATTCGACAGGCCATCTCAGGCTCTATTTTTAAATCTCTCCTCAAAACACATCTGTACTCACTGACACATCTGTACTCACTGGCATTTAACACAGTGTGATCTCATTTGGTATTTCGTTGTTGATGATTGTGTTCATCCATTTTACTTTTACTCCCTGAGTTAACGCAGGGTGATTTGATTTAGTATTTCATTGTTTCTCATTATATTTCATGTTTTGATGCTTTTGTTCATGATGCTGTAATATCTTGTTTTTAATATTTGATGCTGGGATCTTTTTTGGTAAGCACTTTGATAACGGTTACTGTTTTAAATGTGCTATATAAATAAATGTGAATTGACTTGATATAATATGAAGGTGGTCCTGGTACCATTCTTATTGTGGGGTTAATCCCCGATCCTCTTTTTTTTATTTATTTTTAGAGTCAGTTGAGGTGGTTTATCTGATTAGGATGCCTCCCTATAGAGGTTTTTTGGGCATGTCCCCCATGGGACGAGACCTCAGGGCAGCAGAACTCTCTGCTGGTTTTATATTTCCTCTCTGGCCTGGTAACACCTTAAGATCTCCCGAAGGAGCTGAAGAGTGCCGCTTTAGAGAGTGAGGTCTGGGTTTCTCTCCTGGACCTGTTGCCTCCACGGCTCAACCATGGATAGACGGTAGTCTATTTACCACAGAGACTTCAGGTACAGGTATAGCAGTCAGAGAGATTTAAATTCCTTCATCTTCTAAAGATCATTGTTGGACTGGGTCCTTATTCTGAAAATAAAAGGTGTAGCACACCAGTCACCATGGCTTCCACTGTGTAATCCTTTCAAAATAAACTATAAGACAGAATCAGATTCTGAGTTCATTCTGATTTTGTAGGTAGTGGAGAGTTACGATTGTTTTAAGTCAAAATGACAGTCTCATTATTTCCATAAATTAAAATGATGTATTTAATAATTCTTATCTCTAATCCCTGAAGTCATGAACTCTCCGCTCAGGGAGCGGCACGTTTCTGCAGCTCGATGGCTCATATTTCAACTAATGAACAGCTTTCTGTTACGAAACCACAACTAAATGAACGAATAAGCAAACTGAAAGTTAAAAACGTTGTGGTAATATGTTGTCGTTCGTAACTCGCGTCTTGGGAGACTTGATCAAAGCGACAATTGTGTTAAAATAGTTTTTATTAACAACTTATTCAGAGAAAATTAGACCCAAACCGTCTCTACTTCAGTCGTTTATCAAAGATGATGCTCATTCATCTTAAAAAATATTTGACTCGTTTGTCTTCAATATTAGTTTTGATTTGTCACGTTTTGTTTTTGTCTTCCAGTTCAGAGTTTGGTCAACTTGAAGCGATGGACGGTGCCTCTGCAGCCGCCTCTGACCGGATTCTGCTCGAACCGTACAAGTACTTACTGCAACTGCCGGGTGAGTCCGATTTCTCTCTCAGTAGCTGCAGGGTTTGAGGAAAAAATGAAGCCGAAGAACCACGCCGCACGTGACTTATGAGCGCTCTTCGGCTGCTTCGACCTGTTCAAGTTGCTCAGGGACGCAACCTGGGCAAAACAAGCGGTTAAATTATTTGTCGCTTGATTAGCGAGAGCTTGAAGCCCGTTTTATCCCAGAGTGATTTATAAAGCTCATTCAGCATTTTTTTTAGCTGCATTAAAAAAAAGGACTTTTAAATAAAGATACGTCTAAATGTAGCCGAAAATAATATGCTTCCTCCTGCTTGTCCTCATTTTCTAATGCAGGGGTCTGCAACCTGCGGCTCTGGAGCCACGTGCGGCTCTAAGTTTGAACCAAAACTAACATAAAACTGAAGTTTATTGCTGTTTTACCAACAAGAAGTGACTAGTTTTAGCAGGTTTCTGGTCTTTTGCCAACGTGTACGAACACAAGCAGTAAAACTTGTTGACTACGTCATGCTAGTAGTTTGTTAGCCACTTCTTTTAGCTTACTTCCAGTCGTACGTTGTGAGTGATCCGTTTCTCAAATGTTTTGGGAGGAATACCTTTAAGGCAGGTTGCTGAGAAGAATTTATAGTGAGTCAACTTGATAATAATAAAAAATTAACAAAAAAAAAGTAAATGGAAGTATTTATTTAGATTTTAAAATTCAATTACATTTCCAACAAACTGGCCTCATTTTTAATTTTATGCTTTATTACTTCATAATATGAAGTTATGAATTTATGAATCGTTTCCACAATTAAAAAGAAAACTCCCATAAGCCTGCATACTTGTTTGAGTTTTTTACAAAATTGGAAAATATATACCGGTGTGTATATTTTATTCTTCACATAAATCCAGTCTTTTCTTTTGCCTTAAAATATAAAAACATCAATAAATATTAATAATAATTTGTAGTGATGCACGATATTGGATTTTTGGCCGATATGTTAAAACTTGTTTGGCCGATAACCGATACCAAAACCGATATTTTTTCCTTTACAGAGACTGCATAGCTGTGGAATTAAAATACTACATTATTCTGCAGGTCTTTGTCAGTTCGGCCTGCTACCAAATGTAGATGCCAAAAAGGGGCTGAACATGATGCAACACTAAATATATAATATGTATATTATAATGCCGATATCCGATATTTAACTTTATCGCTGATATTGGCCGATACTGATACCATGCAGATAATATCGTGCATCCCTAATAAGTTGATATTTTAGTTTCATAACATCACACCTGCTGGCTGGAAAAGCCAACAGGCTTGAAGCGGGCCATGGGCCACCAGTTGATCATCATTTTATTTAGTGTGCGAAGGGGCAGAGTTGGATCTTTTGATCCTAAAGGTTGCAGACCCCTGGTCTAATGTAGAGTCCGTCTTTGACATCACTACTTTCAGTTTTCATGGTTCCAGGTCTGCGTGTCCTCGGCAGGGTTTCTGAGACAGAAGCATAAGAGAAAGGGAGTGGAGGTTGTATTTATGTAAATTTTGAAGTTTGGTCCAGCAGGTTAAGCCTAAAAATGACTTTGATCCTGTGGCGCGGTAACCCTAATGTTGGGTTTATGAACAGCAGTTTGTTTGATTCTCCCATAGCTTATGTGCGACACACAAAATAAATTAAACCGTCTGAAAAGTTTTATTTTTGCTGCTTTGACGTCAACTCTTTGTGCGCAAATCTGAGCAGGTTTAAAATAAGTCATCGCAACGTCACAAAGACCCGTCAAAATGATTCAAGATTTCACATATCGGTGGCTAAAATGTGCTTAAATTAACCACTTTTCAGCTGAAGTTGTTAGAGGATACGAGCCGAAGTGACTGAAGTTGTTCTGGGAAGAAACGTTTTGGACGGACACGCCCGGCAGTTTTGTGTATTTGTACATAGTGTCACCCAGATTTGAGTCAACTGTGCAGGTAAAAGTAGAATACTTGAAGGAGTGCTTTGTTTACATTGAGTGCGTACCTGCATTTCTGAATCTTATGTCAACATCAAACTTCTCTCTGCAAGGTTTGATATAGGCCAGGCTAAACGTTTTTTGTTTATTTTAATTATTTTATTATATTTATTATTATTATTTATTTATTTATTTTAGACCTGGTTGGATGAAGGAGTAGAAATCTGTTAAAATGTTCTGGAAGGTGAACGAATGTTAATTCACAGCCTTGTGACAAACGTTCTCTCCCTTCTAATGTCTCGGCTTGTTAACATTTAGAACGTGCACTTTGTGCACGCAGGTTATTCTTGTTTGAATCTTCAGCTCTTCTCTTTAATGAGGCTAAATCTGAATAAAAGTAATGAGCGCTCCATCAAACCGTCAGGAGAGGAACCGTGTGCCAGAACCCAGAGCGGTACTCCTCGTCTCGTTCAGACTTGTGTTCTTTACGTGTTTTTATTGCGGCTCGTCAGAACTTTGTAAAAAACACTTTAAAGCAAAGTTGATTTAGTTCTGATGAAGACGCGTTTCAAATTCTCAGTGTTTTCTTTCACCTCCTCAGCTTAAAGCTTTAGATCAATCCAGTTAAAATATGACGAGGCTGCTTTTATTGGTCATTGTCTAAAGAGTATTTATACATCCAACCATACATCCAACCGTACATTCATCCATCCAACTATACATCCAACTATCCATCCATTCATCCA